CAAGCTTGTATATTTTCGACCTCAGCCATACAACAGACCTGGACCAATGAATTGATTTTGAATGTGTTGAACATATATACACCTGTCATCTGACGATGCATGTCCACGGATGGAGTCCATTTGGCTTGCAGAAAGGGAGTTATGGAATGAATCTTGCACTTGGAGGGATCAAAAATGAGAAGCTTTATATGACCCATTTATGCCTAAAGAGTTGCAAAAAAGTTTTTTTTTATCATTTTTTAAAAAACCTTATTAAAAGACGACACTTGGAGGTATTTTCAATTTATTCTAAAAAAAAAATACAAAAACAATTAGTTTTTTAGGATGTACTATATATAGTACATTAGGAATAAAGGTAGCTATAAGAATAATAATAAAAAAAATATTGAAAATAGTACAAATATTTTGAAACACATCAATATTGCAAATTTTAAAGAGTATGATATTGAACAAAACATTTCACGTGAAAGCCGACATCATATTTTCTACATCTAGTAGTCGTGCGCTCATGACAGTGTGCACACCTTGTTTGTTTGCCTTGTGGAATGACTAAATGATCTAAGCGATCATACCTTATGTTACCAAAATTTCTTCATTTACCTTGCTGGTACGTATAAGTCTTCTTATTTTGTGTCAAGATAGTTGTAGCTACACTTCTTCTAAATTGTAATTGATCCACGTTATTTCCTCTCTTTTTATAAATATGCCAGGTGTTTGTCAGGGCTATATCTACACATTGAGAGATCAACGAGAAATACCATTTTTTGCCTCGGATTTGTACTCTGTATTGAGCTATATTCTGGTCTGACCTATCCACCCCGCCCATACATTTATTATACAGCTTGACAACTTGGGGCTGATCTATATACACAAACTTTTTTCTTCCAATCGCTGTAGACCCAAAAGTTACAATATTGTTGTCATTCCGTTTTACAAAGATTAAGTTTTTATCTTTTACTTTGGTATAATCAAACACTCCACGTTGTTCCTCTTTCATAAGTTTTGAATTTTTTAAAGAAGACATGGGTATACGATTTTCACGAATTGTTCCTGTACCACATATGCCTTTTTCAGTCAAGCTTTCAAACAAAGCTGGCGAAGAAAAAAAATTATCAAATACAAAATGAAACCTAAGATTTACCCATTTGCTTTTTAGCCTATCAGCATAGCTCAATACAACTGATGCGCCAACACCTAAAAATTTGTAAGCCGCGTTCAGATACGTCCAAGCACCCTGATAAGGTTCAAACCATAAGATGTAATCAAGAGTAGTAGCGCCAACCCAAAATTTGAACCCATAACGTATTGGTTTCCCGTGGATATACTGTTTACAACCATGTCGCCCGTTGTATGGAACCATTGCCTCATCAATACTATGATGCTCTTCTGGTACTGCATATTCCAAAAAAATTTTATTCAGGTGATTGAAAAGACGCAAATTTATCATTTTGTATCCAGAGCTTCATTGTTTAGGAAGTGAATGTGAGACATTATAAATTCAAATTTATCGCGAGAAATAGCTTCAGAAACAAGCGAGTTGTGTGAATCACTGGATTTTTCCCAATACATCCTCCTGCGAGATACACTACTGTAACCACTCAACAATAATATGCCTAGGAAACATTTGATTTCAGATTTGGTAACCATAATATTCCTGTTTTTTTTGTTCAGCATACCGATTTGTCTCCTCAACTATTATGTTCAAAATTTCGTCATCAAAAAAACTAAAAAATATCTCGGTTGGGGACTGCTCTTGTTCATTTTGATTTTCGTTGTTTATTGGAAACACATACTCATTTCTTGGCAAATCTTGTTTTACGTAATTATATGTTTTCTTCTTTTTCACTTCCTTCCGATTATTACCCCTGATTTCACTGAGTGGTATTTCATCTTCTGAACTCCACATATCCTCGTTTTGATTCTTATTTACTTCGACCTCAGCTTGCATTAAGCTTCCTGGCAAGTTGTTGATATCCAGTCTTTCTTCGTCTCCAGAATCCTCGTCGGCTTTGTTACCGCATGCATTAGTGGGAGGTAACAAAGTGATAGACTCAGCTTCAATGTCGTCATCTTCTATCATTGCTAGCGCCTCATGCAAAGAAAAACCCCTGAAACAAATGTTCCTTCTCAAAATAATTACTTATTCAAAAATAATTTACCTAAAACCATTTTATTTTTGTTTTGACTATGAACGTATCCGTAGACCCCTTTTTTCCTGATGTACTAAATATAGTACACCTAACTTTATCATAACCTTACAAACAAAGCGTAAATGAAACACATCACAAAAACATAAAATTTAGAGGCCGCAACTAAGGAAATAATACTTTCATAAAAATAAACTAGTTTTTTTATTTTATGACATAACAAAATATTGCACAATACGCAAAATTACTCCGTACTGTACGAGATCCACCCGCAAACTGTCGCCGCGAGCTATTCAATTTAACCAAATCGTACAGATATCTACAGGAACAAACAAGTTTAGGCTGTACTATTCATAGTACATTAGGCATAAATGGGATAAGACGACTACTGAACCAAGAATGACCGACGCAGTCCGGGAGAATCGAGAAAGGCGGAACAGTCGAGTTTCGCCTGCGACTCTTCAGTGTGGCTGGAGCTCTTTGGGAACCATATTTCTGGATCAACCATTGTACCACTCTACAGCCTTACAGTACCTTGGTTATGAGTTGTGAGTTCAGGGTTGTGCAGCCTTTGTCTAGACAACATAGTTGCGATTAGTAGGTTAAAACTCAAAATAACATCGTTACAGTCCTTCGTGAGCAGCAAAGAGATACGTTTTGATAATGAAAGGTGATTACTTTTGCATCAAATCAGAGTGCAGCCGTTCGCAGTCAATTAAAAATTAAAGCGATCATGGCTGGAGGGGTGCATGCTGGATGGAAAGGCGTCGTGGGTCTGTTGCACCAGCGGTCAGTTATGAATCTCCCTCTCACGACATACCTACTGTTTGTGACAGCTCAAGCGACTTACTCAAGCCTCGTAAAAAGTATCTATGACAGGTACGGCTCGGTGATACCTGTTCAGCGCTAAAAAAACTGGACTAATCTAAGACCATGAAACGTACAGATCCATTTTCAACTGTCAATGTTGAGATCTGGACATTCTATAGGGTGATTCAAATTGGGTTTCCACATTAAAAGTATAAAAAAAAGAAGAAATTGAAAATTATAAAAAGTATGTATTTGTCCTTTCAGGGCAGTTCATTACAATTATGCTTGAAAGATGATATCAAGTAAATGACCGCCACGGCTCATGTGCCATGACGTAATCCGTTTCGAGAAATTTTTAACTACTCCGTGGCACAAATCAGGTCCTATGTTGGTAATTTCGCGTCTGATCTCCTGGTTTAGCTCCGCAATTGTGTCGGGTTATTCTTGTAGACTTTGCTCTTGAAATACCCCAAAGAAAATAATCTAAGGGAGTTAAATCACAGGATCGCGGCGGCCAATTGATATCGCCGTTACGTGAAATAACGCGACCTGGAAACTTGCCGCGCAGTAATTGTATCGTTTCTCCTGATGTGTGACCTAGGCTTCAATCCCTGTGTTATTTGGACTCTGTATGGGTGTAACTTCAAATCTTTTGTTAAAATCCGCTGTATAGTGGAATAAGTAATTTCCAGTTGCTGCGATCGATGACGAATCGAGTTTCTTGGATTTTCGGCCACACTTTCGACAACAATAGCAATATTGTGTTCCGACCGACCTCTACGAGGACGCCTGGGGGTTTTGGTGTTAGCTAGGAATCCAGTTTGCTCGAATTTTTGCACCAAATTCCAAACTGTCCTCTCACAAATTCACGTAAAGCACAAAATGTATTCTTCCTTGATCGGCCGTTTTCATTATAGGCTTGGATAATTTTAACACGTTGTTCGGTCGTATATTGCTTCATGACTGTTTTGTTTGTATTTTGACGTTAGAAATGGCACGTTGTCGTTGACAAATTCAGTGGCTTTTCAAAAAAAAATTTATTTGTAATGTGGAAACTCAATTTGAATCACCCATTAGAATAAAACGCATATGTATAGCAATCTTATTTTTAATTATATGGTGCAAAATTCATACAAATCAGTTAAATGCTGTAACGAAAGCTTTTAGTAACTTTTTACAATCTACACCAATTTGCGACCAGGCTTACCTTTTTCATCAGGAAATCGTTCATTTTATAGAGATCCTGAATGTCAGTGATGCCCTATTTGTGTGTGGTTGGCGGTCAAAGCTGTTGAACGCAGATGGTGAACGGATAGATTTGACAGAAAGGTGATGGAAGAAATACAGATTTAATAGAAAAGCAGCTTTTTCATGTGTTGGCGTCTATTGACACAGACAGCTAATAGACATGTTTAGCTGTCCATAACCTTTAAAATTACCCATATGACCCCCAGCATAACTAAACCATTGCTTCTAGCATTCCAGATTACCCTCATTAGTGATACAACTGTCATACAGTAGGTTATCACAAGTACACATCAGGCCATCTTAGGTACCATAAATGGCAACACTAGCATCATCTAGTCTGCCTATAAGTTGCCAAGTCACAAAAATCAGACAGCATTTGAACTGGTAACATGATTGATTGATGTATTCTCACCAGGTAACTTTAAGAGCGGGTTCTGCCATTTACACACCCCATGATACCCCAACTGTGTATTACTCGATCTAACATACTGAAGATGTATGGTTATTTTCCTGGCAGATATGTTCCTTCCAGGAAAGCTTCGAACACTTATACAAATACATGTATGGCGAAAACGATGGCTCTTATCATCTCTGGAATATAATTATAGCATTGTGAGTGAGCGAGCAACTTAAGGATACCTACAATCACACAAGTTAACGGGAGCAGGCACAGCTAAAAACAAACAGTGTTGGAACTAGTGCAACTTTTTGAAAAATAAAAATTCAAAAAACTTATCTATCTAATCCGGAATACAAAAATAGAGTAATGTGGCATTCTTAAAAAAATAAGAAAATCTGAGACATCACATAATGTTGTGAATTTTTAAAACTATGGCTAAGATCTGAACTATCGCAACATACAAATACATACAAATCCACACTATCATCAAAAAGTAGATATTACTTAGATTATAATGACTTTGTAAAACGTGATGAACCACCTTGAAGATAGTCTCAACGTTAAGCACATCTTGATGAGGTGGAGCCGCAGCATATTCTGTCGGAATGTCCTCTGCATAAGTTTAGCTAGCAGTGGAATGAATTAACGATGGAGGTTCGAACACTTTATTGCTGCTGTTGGTTTCTCTCTAGAATCTTATAACCAACTTGTCCATGTACTTTTTGATACACTGTTAGCGGCGTGTAGAACCTAGAACTCCTCATGTATCCGTTGATACGTCTACTAGTGGTTACGGGGGGCAACAACTTTTTTGTCTTCCTCCCGTAAAGGATCTTACAGTTCTCTAACAAGGCGTTTTCAAACCCCAGATCTTCAGCAAAAGGCTTTTTTTCCATCTCTTCAGATCCATCCTGTTTGGGTTTCTCTTCACAATAGTGTTGTCGGTAGGTACTTATCTGGAATGTGAAAAATAATAGTGATTAGCCCTGCCAGAAATCGGCAGAGTTATGAGAAAAAAAAAACGGAAAATGTCAACTAGATAGCTTCTAGTGTATAAATAGTTCATTCCGCTTTTGCTCGCGGTGCGCGCTGTGAACGTCACCCATAGCGTCCCGTATGGAAGTATGACTAGACGACATGACCAACGATCCTGCTGCAAGTCAGTTCGTCAGCATGCTTTGTGGGTTGGAGAATGCCGAGTCTGTAGAGTATATCTCTGAGAAGATATGAGACGATGATGAAAAAATTGGTTCAGTAGCAGAGTAGCAAGATCGCATCTGGATGATTGTGTGAATTGTTCTGCATGTGTATAAAATCAGTGATATTTATATGTTAGAAAATTATTACTAAATATGCCATCATTTTCTACTTGATATCGCAAGATACATTTCTATAAAATTTATATGACTGGAAATAAACAATAATGTAAAATGGAATAACCTTTTCACGTTTTATAAATATTCCTCTGTAGCCTATTTGCTCGCGTTTTAGTTATAATATACTTCACCAACCAGGGTTTTTCTTTTTTCGCATATGTAATTTCCTGGATGAAGCATACATCTCAAGTAACTGTACATATTTGAGACAAGAACCAAGGAAATTGTCATTACTACAGATTATTAGCACACGAACCCTAAATAAACACCTATGCACTGTCATTTCGTCCGTTTCCTTCGAGCTGAGTTTACAACTTACAGCTTAGACAATCTTTGAGGCAGATGTTACATGACATCAGAGCCAATCCACTTTTCAAGATACGTAATACCCCTGTCGGCACACTTAATGTGGCAGGATTTGTCTCTGTGACCGCATTCAAATAATGATATTATAAAGCACATCTTTTAAAATCATAAAACTTCTAGGATGATCTTTAAGATTTTGTCGCCCCAGGGAAGATTTGCCTCCTCCCGTTATACAAAAGTTTTGGAGGCTCATACTTTCTACCATATCCTCTGTCGGCGCTGATTTTCACAGATCCGTATGCGCGTAAAACGTGACAAAAGTCGCACATTATGGGTGGAAATAATTTTTTAAGAACAGTTAATGGTTGCAATAGGGAAGATCATATTCGCAATGTAGACATAAGAGATGAGCTACAGATTTTTGCAATTAATGACAGCATAAAATACTATCAACAAAAATGGTTCGACCATATACAATTAATGGGAAACGGATGAAGTGTTCCTAAGATGTCGCTTAAATACAAGCCAAAATAGCGAGACATCTATAGACAAATTTCAAGAATATTTAAGTTTTTACCTCAAAACCATGCATTCAAAGAATTCATCAACGTCAATTTATGTGAATGAAGCAGTTAAATTAGGAATTCGTTTTTAAACACAGACCTACTGGACTCAAAATGGGTTCAAATTCAAAAACTGGGAAGTCGTTAATCATCTATTACTACTATAAAGCAAGGGAAGGCTTTCCGAAGTTCAGAATCGTGATTATTATTCGATATATTCATATAATGTTTCTCCTCATAACTATGACAATCAAACACTCTCCTAACTAAAAGGATGGTCCTTACCATCCTTCTCATTCGCATCATCTTCAACATGGCTGCGCCTTTGGTTAAGTCCGATATGTCTCCAACTCCAAACTCACTTTCGTCCATCCAAAGTGCTTTGTCATCATCACAATCGAATCTCATATCGCCAGGAATGATTGGGGGCTCTCGTTTTTCGTCATGCCTTCGATAGTCATTTATATAACTTGTAATGTATCCCTGAGCCATGGCTGAGTATTTTTGGATTCTCTTTAAGAGCAAATCCTAGAATTTCCTTAAATCAGTTTATTTAAGTTCAACCAAAAAGTGTGTCAGGAAGGTCTGTGTCGCATCACAGATTTGACATAGCTGACAACCTGACACGTAGATATGAGCGTACACGTTACAGTGCATGCTTCAGTCTAGCATGCATTCCCGTAGTGCCACGTAGCTGAGTATCTATAGTCAACGCCAAACAAAGTGGCGTGCACGTCATCACGATAAAAATTCCCCGACCTAATGCCTAGGTTTCTATCACAAACAATTGCTCTATTGCAGTTTCATATTAATGTGATGTATAAATTGTAAAATGGTCATTACTCTCTTATTATGGTTAATAGTCATATAAACATTGTTATTAAAATATCACATAAGTTGCTTTCTGATAAATTTAGACGCATTATGCGAAATAAAATGTTTTGCAAACGCTCCAATCACTTATCGACATGTAAACGCACTAAACCGATTTCGCAGCGTTGACACATTGTCACCTTGAAACTTATTTAAACTGGGAACTGACATTTGTATTAATTTTGACACTGAATCAATTTGTGGCATTTCAAATCTTTATAAATCCTTTGGCCCCGCATACTGTAAATGAACAACTGTTTGTTTCAAAACAAAATTATTCATTTTACGAGTAGATAAAGGCAATTTTGGTATATAAAGATGCCCAAACAGTTAAATAGTCGGTGTAAGGAACTCGTGGCCTCGTTAATGCACTACTTTGAGCAAGAAAGGGACAACAACGGGCCTTTGTTGCCTTTAAATGCTGTTCAAGAGGTAGGTTACTAATAATTATATGTAATGTATATTAATAATAGTGAAATTTTATTTCATTTTTTGTAGCGTGTTGCTGCTGCTTTAAAAATTAGTTTAAGGACAGTTAGTCGTATTTCCGAGGGTGTGAAAAGTGATGCAAATTTAGAATCGCCCAAGAAAAAGCGGAGTTATATTAAACGTGTAACCAACACAGCGACATTGGATACAAGTGCCATTCGAGAAGTGATCTATAATATGTATCACAAAAGTAAGATCTTATTATAATAACTTATCAGAAATTTGCATTAATTTGTTAACTAAATTATAATGTCATATTACACATGGTTTCAGAAGAACAAGTTACGATACAAACTTTATGGTCTCGATTAAGAGATAGGGCATTATTTGATGGTAGTGCCACGTCTTTAAGGCGGTTGCTTAGAGATCTTGGATTTAAGTGGCTTAAGGACAATCCGCGACGAGGGCTCATGGAACTACCAAGTATAGCTTTGAAAAGGGTGGAATTTCTAAGGCAATACAATCAAGCCTAGGTTGAGGCCTTATACCAGTTTGTCTTCCTCGATGAAACTTGGATATTTCAAAATGGGACCATAGGTCGCTCTTGGCAAAATGGAAACCAAAAAAGCGTGAAAGCTATTAAAACAGATGGTAAAAGGTATGTACTTTTACACAATTTGCACTATAAAATTTAAAACTAATATATTTTAGATACATTATATTACATGCTGGAAATGAAAATGGGTTTATTGAGGGTAGTGAAGCGATATTTTCTTCGAAAACAAAATTGAGCGATTACCATGGAGAGATGAACCAGGACAATTTTTTGAAATGGTTTCAACATCAGTTATTAGAAAAATTGGAGAGTCCATCTATGATTATACTGGATAACGCCCCTTATCACAGCATGATATTGAACAAAGTGCCCAACAATGCATGGACAAAAAAAAATATCCAAGACTGGTTGACAAATCAAAACATACCATTTTTAAACACAATGTTTAAAACAGAGCTATTGAGTATTGTTGCTCGGTACATAATGCTTCTTAATTATATATATTTTGGTCGACAGTTTATATTTCTTTTGTTTATTCCTATTCTTAAAATAACTGCTTTTTTAGAAACAAACCACCTAAAATATACGTGATTGATGAATTGGCGGAACAACATGGGCACAAAGTTCTTCGTCTGCCTCCTTACCATTGTATATTTAACCCTATTGAGTTAATTTGGGGCATAGCAAAAGGTTACTATAACAGACATATTGGTAGAGATGGTAACACTGAAAAAGACTGTTTGGATATGTGGAACGAGGCTCTACAAACGGTTACCCCAGACATGTGGAAAAATAGTGTTCGACATACTGAGCAAGAAATTTTTAAATGGTATGAAAGAGAACGAATTTTTGATCGACCAGACATCGAACCTTTAATAATCAACTTTGAGAGTGATGAAGATTCAGATTCAGACAGCGCTGAAGAAAGAAACTCCGACTAACTTTATTGTACAGAAAAAGCTTACACCAGTAGCTTACCTAATTTTAGAATGCATTTTTCTGTATGAATTCTGTAAAATAAATACCATGCATAAAATTTGGAGGACCCCATTTGGATTTTTATTCAGTACCTTTAAGCTATCAATTAAATATGGTAGTTTCATAGTGTCATCTGATCAATAATTGTCATACTTAATGATTATGCAAGTACAGATCTATAATTTTATTATACTATTATTTTTGTTCTCATTTGAGGTTAATATTGCTTATATTATTATATATAAATTTTATTGTTTTACAAAAAGTTTGGCAACAATGTAAATTTTTCAACACACCCACCTTGATGACGTGCACGCCACTTTGTTTGGCGTTGACTATAGCTGCTTATCCATAGTTGTTTTTACGATTTTTACGTCATCAATACAATACGAAATAAGTAAGCAAATCGGACAACTGTATCATGTGCAGAGCTGAAACAGGAACATTTTACACTGGGCAAACACTCCAATAATTTTGGCAAAAACTATCGATATTGTCCGTCATTTGAAGTTTCAGATACTGCTGTTTTATTTTAAAAAGATCAATAAAAGGTGAACTAGAGAGATGTCAAGTGGGTTGTCACACTGACACTGACAGGCATAGATTAGGAATACTTATACTATGAGAAGCTGTTAGATGTAATAGGCATACATATGTTAAAAAGCGCTGATAGGCCAATTGGCTTAATGCTATGTTTAAGTCTACACGTTTCGAGTCACGACCACAATGCCACCACTCGATGAAGATGTCGACGCCGAGATCATTTTCTGGCGAAAACATAGACGTGTGTCATATATTTTATCACAGGTCAGCGCAAATTCTAGCTGCGGTGCTTTTGATTACGCACATGTTAGGTATAATATTCACACATGTTGTAGATACATTTGTCGTTAAAATATAAATATGTTAGCTTATCTTTTATAGTCTGAGACGTAGAACTGTTTTACGATTTAAAGTAGTTAAGTGGACAGGTTTTGAGGAAAAAAATTGTTCAGGTTCATTCAAGACACAGTATTTTGAATAAACCTCAACTATTCTTTTTTTTGTTAAATGCATAGGGACTAATTGTTTCTCTTATTTTAGCAGCCTCTACTACAACAGGTCACGTTGATTAGTAACTGCTTTGATAGATTTGTTTTAATCATAGTTCATATAGAGTTAGATTTCTAAATAAACAAACTATTTGATGACAGATTTGTGTATTTGAGTACATAGCCAACCTGTTTGACGTCACTTTTTATTCAGAAAACTGTTATAATTTTGTAATTTCAAGATTTTCTCCAACCTCTTGAGATTAATCCGGTTTATAGTTTTTCAGTTCCAGTTTTAATAAAAGTTTCTTGGCGAATGGGTTCTAAGAAGAACAAAAGTGAATAGCTGATCTCTGCGGTAACACCGCATTTGAGGCGTGAGATGAGCACAGGACAATGTTCCTTTCTTTACGACGGCACTTTGTTGGTTTCGCGTAAAAGCACCTCTGTAATGGAAACACATAAAAGAGGCTTATGTTCCGTAACTCAGGTATACGTGCACATGCACAAAAGAAAGTAGAACAGATCGCTTCGTTGTAGGCATACGTTGGTGGTGAGTTTTTCTATTCCGCATAATACGTATACATATACATACCACACGATTTTATCTGTCGTGACTCCTGTCTATTATGACCGAAAGGAAGAAAGTCAAATACTCGTATGTACCTTTCTCGTCGTGGTTTTAGTTCAGAAAGTATTATGTTAGGTTTTGTAACTCTTACATCAACTTATTTATTTGTAGCTGCTTGAAAGGATGGCCAATTCCTTGTTATTCCAAAAAGCCTTGATGTTCTCTTATAGTTCCAAAACTTACCTCAACTATCTACATGCATAGTGACTGGCTGCATGGTCATCATTATGCAGTAGCGTAAAAAAATCATCTCAACTAGGTCTTTACTACTCAGTTTCGATTAAAAGACTTACAAGGCGATTTCTCCATATTAAATGCATGCCTTGTATGCTTGATTACGTGGAATTAAATAAGAAAGATATATAATTTCAAAAGTAAGAGCTAGAGTGGATATAGTTGTTTGCCTTTCGGTTTTTATGGATAATAGGATAAGGATAAGGATATTCTGTAATCTCAGCAATCGATATGTTGAAATTTAGTGAAGCTCAAGGTAGGCTAATGGTGAAAATCAAAAATAGGCATAGATTACAAGAAAACAAATGAATATCAATGTCACTGATTATTTTAGAGTCATTAATGAGGATTCAAAAACTTAATATTTACATAATAAACATTTTAAAATTGGAATTTGTGAAAGTTTAATTTTAGACTAACATTACACTATTGTGCAGAAACAAAATAGTTATATGGTAGTTCATTGTGAAACCCAAATAAAGCTATAAAAAAGGCGATCCTGATGATATGGACAACTACCGTGCTATTAGCTTACTGATAAATTTTTCTAAAATCTTTGAAATTGCTTATAACAACCGTCTTATTAATTTTTTCCACTCAAATAAATACTTCACCAATAACCAACATGGCTTCATGAAAGGTAGAGGTGTGAACACGGCACTGTTCGATTTCACCACAGCAATCCATGAATATCGCGAGAATAAAGGAGCAGCATGTGGTTTATTTGTGGATCTGTCAAAAGCATTTGATTGCATTGATCACGAAATATTGCTAAATAAATTATATAAATATGGTATACGCGGGAATGCGTACTACTGGCTTAAATCTTATCTCTGCGATAGAAGACAGACAGTAATTTTGAACAAAACCGGGAAACGAATA